AATTTCCAGGAATTAGTCACTTCAACAGCCTTCGATGGTTATACGGGTATCCAAAGTACGAACGAGATGGATGTTTGTTGTCCCAACCATTCTTTTAGTTCCGAACCCGATAAGGAAAGGGATTCTCCGTTAAATCAAGTAATTAGTTACACATTCCATCAAAAAAATCATGTTGTATTAATTAAATATAATTTATGTTTATCGATCACAAATTATCAAATTAATTGATCACAACTTATTTCACTATCACAATTATCAAATTAGTTGATCACAACTTATTTATCAATCACGAAAACACAAACTGTAAGTCACAATTATAAATTTAATCAAAAATCACATATTTTATAGGTCACATATTATTTATTGATCACAATTACTCAACAGTTAGTCATAATCGTTCCTCATCCAACCTATTCCACCCCTACCACAACAGGCACCACCACGAAACACCAATGTCACCTCACCACTAACATAGCTCCACCACCACAACAACACCACCCACATCACCACCACCTTCAAATGCACCACACTGCATGAACCATCACACAGATCCACACACACCACACATAGATCCACCCATACACCGCAATCACATATTAAGTCACGAATTATTGTGTAATCACATATCACCCGATAAATTGATCACAATCACTATGTATAAGGATGTATAATTAATTTCATAGATGAGATGTGTGCGCGCGCGCGTGTGTGTATACACTTCATTTATGAAATTGAAAATTTTCTAAAAAATACACTTCCAAATTTGAAAAATAAAAACCCCACCCACCTAGGTTACATCTTAGGCAATTTTATGGCCTCCGATCAGAATTTGTGGTTGCACAGAAATTGCTTCACACACAATTTTATTCTTACCTCCATTGATACTACTACAATTGTCGAAGAATTGGCTAAAATGCCACTGGTTAGAAACAATGGATTCCAACGTCAAACATCTGAATTGTACAGATAAGCCACTTGATTATTCAACAACAAAGTCATCGCTGTCTCACACTCAGTACATGTTTACCGTTCTGCATGAAACGATTCAAAAAGTGATAGTATGTGCACTATTTCTATTTTTATTCATTTATTTTTTAATAGTGTGACTACTTTTTGTTGGAGTAATAAAGTGAGAATTGGATAATGAGTTGGTTTGTAACAATTATTACGAAGGATAATTCTACATGCACATTATAATATTCATAAGGATGTCCATAATGTACATATGAAATTTCATGATTGGAGAGTTGAAAAAACATGTCTAATAATATTATGTCACTTGTACATTATGAAATGTACAAGTAACATAACCCTTATTACAAATTGGCCATTCAAATGGAAGGTGGAAAACTGGGAGTGGACAAGGAGACGGATGGGGGAGAAATGTAAAGGATTTTGGCTGAAAAATAGTGATGGGGACTGGTGGGGATGGTGTGACGTCAGATGGAGTGGGATGTTGTGTAATAATGTATAACTGATTTTTGAAGAAAAGAAAAATAGTAAACACCTGATTTATGAAATTGAAACTTGAAATGTAGGATTTGAAATAATTTTCCCTTATTACCACCTAGCGTTGATTAAGCCCCTGTTTGTCATTCTTTAACAAATTAAATTGTTTACTATAGTAATATTCTCCACCACACATTCACACAATAAAATATTCTACACATAAACCAATAAAATTTCTTTAAATTTTAACCACGCATTCTCCAAAAAATATAATTCAAAACTCTATAATTTTTCCCATAATGGGAGATAAACAGACTCTTAGTAGAGTATGTAATTTGACAATATAAGGAAGTGTTCGATGACGAATGTTAAGAGTCGAGGCCAAAATTTAGTTCAAGTAGCAAGAGCAAATTCTTATCGAATCATCGACTAGGTTTTCAATCCTTTTAAAGGAATAACGATGAAATTGAAAAAGGAGAACGTAAAATTTCGGAAGTCAGCTAAACTAAGTTTTGTCAAGGTAAATTTCATGTTTAAAGAAAATGAAATAAATACACAATATATACTAATTTGGGTCACTTATTTAATTAAGTTGATATTTTAAGATATATCTTCAGGTTTTAATATTGTACCAAAGTCCATTAAATTCAAACGAGCTCCATCAAATGAAGCTTCAATAAATATTGTATAAGGGGCTACTACTGCATGAACTTCAGATTTTCAAGTCTTAATATAATTATTCAGGTAAACTAATTAAATGTAATATACATAAGCATAATCTATATTCTTTGACATAACTCGATTACTTATTGCATCTATATTGAATTTTTTATTTTATTTTATTAGTCATTAATTGTGTGAATCAGCATGCACGACATAGTACATGGAATAATGCTATTACAGTCATAGTAATTAGCAATTATCTCATTAGTCTATATGATAATTGAATTTATGAATTAATGTCACTTAATTGTTATTTAAATCGATAATGAGCATCAGTAATTTTAGAAAGAAAATTGCAACAACAGTCCTTAACTTTTGATTTTTTAGTAAACTTTACTTTAATCTTCAGTTTGTACCAACGGATGTTTCAAAAACTTTGATAAATTAGCAGCTAAAGTCCAACCATCCATTTGACCTTTAGTTGACCAAGAGAAGTAGACTTTGAACAATTTTGACCAAATTGAAAGTGATGAATTGGATGATATTATTTGTATTATTAATTCTGCGGTTGCTTTTGTAATGGTTTTGAAGGTCCCCCCCCCCCCCCCCGCACCATCCCANNNGCGCCCCCCCCCCCCCCCCCCCGGGGCTTGATTCAAGGGCTACAGTTGCAATGATTCCAATAGTGGTGGCCGTGGACAATGCGACGACGTGTTTGTGGATGGCAGTGGTTGGCAATGGCTTGTTTTCTAATTTTTGGTTTGGATTGGTGGTGGGGTGGGGTGAGGAAATAACTTAGTTGAGGAAGGGAGAAGAACATTAGTTTTTATTTTATTTTTTTTATTTGTTCGTTTATTATTATTATTTTTATGTTTTGTTTTGATTTTTATTTTATTTTTTTAATTTAATGTGATAATTTTAAAGTTCTCTCTTTACCCTTTAATTTAGTTAATTTGTTAAAGTTCACTTTTTCGGTCAAGAAACGGTCAAAATATATCATTTTGGACCACAGCTGCTTGAAATTTTCGCTGACACAAAAGTTATAGTATAGTTAGTAAAAATTCAAAGATTAAGAATCTTTGTTGCGATTTTCCCATAATTCTATGCTGTAACATCTATACCTAGACACAAATCCTTAGAAAAATGTTTTCAAATATTTATTCTATTCAACTTTGATGGATTCAAACTATAATAGGACTGATGAGTTGTTCTATAGATATTTATTAAAATAAATAAATAAATAAATAAAATATAAAAAAAAGTCAGAGTTGATGTTTGAGCTCTAGATTACGTGTGATTCTTGGATTACAATTGAAAGTAATATAATATTTGTTTAAAAGTAAAAAATTACAATTTCTTGCACGAATGCTTAATTCCGGCTCAAACCTTGACAGTTGGCAGTTAGCGATTGGCTTTGAATTTAGACAACGTTGAAGCCACGTAGCAAGAAGATTTTTGTGGAAGAGCAATGCTAATGTTTAAATAATTGGTTGAATCTCGTTGTGGCATTGCCGTCGTCTTTAAACAATGGCCGTCCCCACAGCGTTTATCCATCGAATCCCAGGCTGGTTAGTTGAAAATGTTGTAACTTTACAAGACCACCACGTTGCACTGTATTCCACATTTTCTTCTTGTAAATGGCGCGGGGGTGGGGGTGGGGTTAGGGAAATCACGTAGAATAAATCTACTTGCAGCATCTGTCAAATTATTTGCCAAAATATTTTGGGTTGAAAAAACTAAACATAAATTATGGATCGTTAACTTTCAAAAAGTGAGATTTTGAATTTTCAATTTATTTAGCCTTGTTTGAGTTCCATTCTTTTGATAAAAACAAATTTTTGAATAGTGTATTGACGAAAAATATGTGAAAAAAAGTTTTCAATTTGCGTGTAATATTATTTTATTGAAGAATATGTAGTCGAAATGATGTTAAAATATTGTTTAAGAATGCATTTTTTTTTTTTTTTCAAAGAATGAGAATTAGACAAAGGGCTTAAATTCGTGAATTTGGATCGTTATGTGAACGAAAATCTTCAGTTTGAACATTGAAAATACCCAGCAATTTCTGTTGAATTGGAAAGAAATCCTATGTTGTTTGACCACTTTGCTTTTCATTTTTTAAGGAACATAAAAGTTTCATGTGATTTTATCATCGGTATTGATATTATTTCCCTTCACATATTTTTGCTCCGTATATGCAAATTTTGGTTCCATCAAAGGATGTCAACAAATCGAACTGATACTCAAAGCTCGGGCTCTACTCGAATAAAATGGTGCGAGCTTTTTTCGGGTTCGAGTTGAGTAAATTAAGACTCAATTCGAGCTTTAAGCTCGAATTTTACCGAACCGAGCCAACTTGATTTTTTTAAATAATATTTGCTGCCTGTAAAAGGTACCAACTGTCGACCTTTTATCTTTTTTATTAATTTTTTTTTATAATTCAAGGATTGTCTCGTTATGGGTCAAAAATGATCCGTGACCAAGCCTCGAGCTGTGCCAGTTCGAGCTTTTTTTGAACCAAATCACTGACGACCCGAGCCGACGAACAAAATTGACACATCTACTCCACCATTAGTTAAAATGGAAGGTGGCTTTCACAAGGAGATCGAGATTAATGTAATTAACATGACTTTCATTTGCAATTTTATATTTCACATTGAAGTTTTTCATCGCAGAGGACCTACCATATACACTTTTGACAATTGGAAATGCAAAACCATATCAATTGAAAGATTAGGGAGCTTAGCTCTAATTTTCTCTAATATTTATTTAAAACAAGAAAATATGTTTAGCAAGATTGACCAAAATCACTGGGGGGTTAAATTGAAACTATTAAAACTTTATGTCCTTATTTTGTTATCAAAGAAAAAGCAGGCCAAGCTGAAAGCTACTAAACAAAAATGTCCATTTCAAAATTCAAACACCCATCTCTACTCCCTAACTAGTAATTTACAAATTATTCCCAATATCATATTCAAGCAACCCTAATTTATTTTCTCTACTCCTCCCCTTTCTCCATTCTCCACCGCCGACGCCGGCGAAAGAAAATGACTAGCTACGGAACTATCCCCACCTCATCCTCGCCGTCCGGCAACCCGGTGAACCTCGAATACATCTCACGCGCCAAGGAACGCATCAAGGATGGCCTCGCCACGCGCCGCCCCTGGCGGGAGATGTTCAATTTACACTGCTTCAACCTCCCGTCCGCCTCCGGCGCCTTCTCTCGAATCAAAACGAACTTAGCATTCTTCCGAATGAACTACGCAATGATAGTTCTGTTGATTCTGTTTCTTAGTCTCCTCTGGCACCCGATTTCGCTTATTGTTTTCATTGTAATGATGGCGATTTGGCTCTTCCTCTACTTCCTCCGCGATGAGCCGCTTGTGATATTCGGCCGGTTGATCACCGATCGTGTGGTGCTTATTGTTTTGTCGCTGGTCACGATTGTCGTTCTGCTGTTCACTCACGCCACTATCAATATTCTGGTGGCGCTGTTGGTTGGAGTTGTGTTGGTTCTGATTCACGCCGCCGTGAGGAAGACGGATGATTTGTATGTTGATGAGGAGGCTGCTGGCGGCTTGTTGAGGTCTACTGGTGGTCCTTCGTAAAATTGATCTTTCATCTTCCTCTTTCTAATTAAGTTTATCCTTTGTACTTTCAGTATTTGGTCTAAAGTGATTGTTTTGATTTTGGGTATTTCTGTAATTCGGTGTGCGTTTGAATTATGCTTTCAGCAATCTTTTATCCCACATTTTAGTATCCTCTCTCAGAAACCATCCCCCGTTATTTGAAATATTTTTTTAAGAATGTGTGAACCGAAAAAGAAAAAAACATATTTTGAAATTACTTATAATATTATTTTATTAAATAATGTGTGGTTAGTAAATAAAAAATAAAAAAATAAATTACAATTTATCAATAATTTATTGATATATTACATCTTGACGGATACATTTGTTAAAAAGTTATGATATGTTAAGACAATAAAAGTGCATTTGAGGAACGACACATCTCAACTTAAAAATGAAAATTGAAATTTTATAATCGTGCTCAAATGAGGCTATTACCATTATTAATACTATTGACAAAACAATATTTAAATTTATACTCAAAAATTAGTCGAACATTATGCCCTTATTTTTATACATTAAAATATTTTAATTCAAAATCAACAATTAATTTTAATCATACAGAAATCACAACTTTGTAACCATCTACTTTATCAACCTTTTATCATAATTTACTAAAAATATGATTTTTAATGTACACCAAACAACAGGTTACATATGCACAAAAGATAGCAATGATATGGGTAACAAGAAACCATGAAGCATTTGTGTATAAAGATATGATGACTAATGTGCATCTCTCATATAATAATAAGTATGAATAAGGTTGCTTGATTCCACATCCAATATGTACATTTATAGATATCGACAGATCCAACACACAGTGAGGTCTAGCGACCGCTCGTGCTGAATTTGTCAACGGTAATTTTTTTGATCCCTTTTTTTTTTATTTCAAAAATACACCAGACATACAACAGGTAATGAACTTAAACTCATCTTCTCCACTTGTCAAACTTTGTCAAGAAAAATGTTTCTGCCATTTGGAAATTTTATGAAGCACCTGGTGGGCATATCTTGAAGCAAAAGGATGAAGTGCTTTAAAACTTGAGGAAAATACTAGACTTTGTAAGGTATCTTTGGCTTCATTGTTTTGCCTTTTTTCTTCAATGAAGACTGGTAAATTCTATTGGGAAAAATGAGTGATTTGCGTGTAGATAAATTTTCAATAAAAATAATCGATTAGATAATATGAACATAAAAGTTCAATAATAACAAAAACATAAAATATAATTAGAGAATTAGAAAAACAAACCTTAAGGAGTTACGTTAATGAAGTTATCCTAAAATTGTGTTACATCTCCTTCGTGCGGATACTTTCGGCACTACACAATTCCAAGATAAAATTCATGTGACTCACGGATGGTTCTCTTTCTATGGGCACGATCACAGGGAGATAAGAAACAAGCCTTTATCGAGTTGTTAAAAGTATAAAAATATAGTATGAATTGTATAGAATGTTTTTCTTCCATGTAGTGTTTAACAAAGGGAAAAACATTCCTCTTTATAGGGACAAATTCCAACCCCTACAATTAATTCAAAATTATGAGTTTTAAATTTTTGTAAATAAACCTAAAAATTAAAAAGAAAACTGTAAATTAATAGGTTTAAATTTTGAAAGGTTGAAACTTATTTTATGTTACAACAATCCCCTATAAGTTTTAAACTTTCAAAATAGATAAATATATATTAGGAAAAATTGAAGCAACGGTCCCTAACATTTTCATTTTTGCAGACTTTACCTTAACCTTCATTTTTTACCAACAAAAGTTCCTAACATTTCATAAATATGCACCCGAGGTCCATTTGGACAGAAATTGTCAATTGACCAAGAAAATTAAGGAATCAACATCTAATAATACCATCCAAAAAGGTATCAACATCCAATAATGGGAGCAGATAGTTCAAAAGAAATTTTCCCGATTAACTGATAGTGTTTTGGACAGTTTCTATTCAAATAGACCTCAAATGCATATTTATGAAAGGTTAGGGACTTTCACTGACACAAAATGAAAGTTAGGATAAAGTTTACAAAAAATGAAAATGTTAGGGATCGATATTGCAATTTTTCCTATATATAATGATTGAAACTTTATACTGTGTAATAAGTATAGATGTCTTTTAGATTTTAACATCATTTAGTGATAACAATTTTCATTTGGGGGGACATAATGGACTAAACTTTGAATTAAGTCTATTTAACCAAATTTCAATTGTTCCACACACAATATCGATTTAGGCTATAGTTCATAGTGGGTAACGCTCTAATGGCCATACCCTCTAATATTGATTCTAGTAGGAATCTCTAGAGAATAGACCAATTCCATAATCACGACCTCATAACAACTCTTAAATAGGCGAGTCTTCCAAGGGTGCATGTGACCAACACCTGGGGAGAATTCTCGCCTCGGTACTCATTTAAGGTTAAACCCTTCCTAACATTACATTATTATTAGTACTATTGCTATAGGGATGAACACAAATAATATAGTGCTATGACAAGTCATGCAGTATGGGTTATTTTTACCATATTGAACATTCTTCATGAGATCACCAATCACAAAGGTTGGAATGTTCTCGAATGTGACTCCCTTATTTGCTTAAACTCATCCATCTCGATGATTTACATACATGTCCATGGACTTCAATATATTCATGTCTCTCTTGGACAATAATATGGTACCATAATATTTGCAAGCTCTTATTTCCTGCTTTGCGCATCTGTACATCTACAAAATCTTCTAAAAACATTTCAAAATATCAAAGTCACTTTAAGTATAATAATATAAAAATATGAAATTTAAAATTGACTTCTAATCACATGTTTGAACATGTGCACACAATCAACTTTCATATTTCACCTGCATATCTCCAATTTTATTTCTAACACTTTTCAAAAGTCAGTTTTAAACAAAGAGTGATAAATATAATGTGTATCTTATTTGAAATTTTTAAATGCCCCACCTTCCAAAGATGTTCAGATTGTAGAGTTTTTTTTTTTTTTTTTCCCCATCACATTCCAAACTACATTTTACTTCTTTTCCTCACTATCCATTAAAGCATAAAGTCTATCATTCCTCAATTACAAAATAATTTTGTACAACCTAAAGTTTAGAACGAGCATAAACTTAATACAACAAAATGCAAATCATAATACTTATCCTTTATTCAATTGACAAAAATTTTGAATGCTTATTATATGCATTAACCACCAATACACTTATCGAGACATCATAATGCAATAGAAATTAGAAACAACACCAAACAGTAGTATGTAAGTCAAATATCCACCAATTTCTTTCACTGTCCAAAATTGTCCTATAATAGCATATCTTTATGTCATTTGTCACTTTACTACATAATTAGGCAAGGATTGACTTGAGTAGGAAAAATTAATACATAGAAAATTTTACACACTACATTATGGACTCGCACGTAACATCGCAATTTATTTACTTATTTATAACTAATAGCTGCTTGTATCATCAACCACAAATTAAATTTGTCTTTAATTTGTAGTTCTAAATTTTATTATGAGTTAAAATGTACCCTTTTTATTTTCTTACACTATATAATGACCAATATATCGTTCAAATAATAATAATAATAAATAAGCATTATACAATATTTTAACCTCAATTATTTAAGTATTGGTTACAACATTTTATACTAATATAAAACTTATTTGAAACATTTACTCATGAATTTTATTACCAATTGGTCAAAATTAAATGAATAAAATATAAAATGAATAACTATTATGTTCTGACATAGTTTTTCATTAAATTTCTATTTCACCTATATGCACGTAGATAATTTTAAAATATCACTGGCAAACTTATATCATGATTAAATTATTTGACTGGTCATTGACAAAAAGTAATTGCAAAAACTTATGTCTATCGACAAATATTAATGAATACATAAAAATCACATAATATTACCTTCTATTTCGAACATTATAACTTGGAAAATATTTTTCCCTTTAGTGGTCATCAAGTAAGCAGATGGAAATTAGTATCATAATAGTATAACATGTATATTCCACACTTCTCAATTTCTTTATAATACAATAACATATAATAATACCAACAGAATAACAATAATATCACAATTACTTGTAGAATCTACATTTGAGCTGAAAATGAACTTTTGTTGATTAGTCATGGAATTCAAACACTTATAAAATATTAATTAAAAACATTATTACAAGGTTAAACCATTGAGTAATGTTACTTTGACCGAAATATTCGCCAGAAATGACCGAAGATGCCGTGGTAGGAGTTAATTGGGTGAGACAGTCGATTGTATTTAAAATAGTCCAATGATGAAATATCACTTGGTATTATATCAACTATTATATCAAGCTTTATGTTCCTATAACATGATTGTAAATCATTTAACTGTATATTCAAAATAAATTCAACTAATTTCTTGCCATAATGTCATAATGATCCAACCAGTTCAAATGTCACCAATTGTTGCATAGTGCTCTATTTCTTTTCTAGAACAAACTTCTCTTAGCATATGATAGTCATGCCTTGTGCCAGTTGCTGATGTATTGAGTTCCTCTCCGCTTCATGGGGACATGTTATTGTAGGGGAAATACTCAATTTAATATTATATTTAAGCTAGAGTTGCTTCTTTCTTTTTTCCTTTTTTCTTTTTACTTCAAAATATTATTTTCTAAGATTGTGATTTATACTGGATAATACTCAACGGAACATATGATAACTCAATTACTTGAGATTTGAGCAAAGAACACCCAGCCCAGATTCAATGATTTTTCATCAACACCCCACTTTTGTAGTTTACTGCTTTCTGAATATTTATGACATGGTTATGTGTGTATGCTTGGTCCACTTCCTAAAACGAATTTTTATCAAACAATTATAGTTTTAGCAAATCATTTATATCCACTATCCAGGAACAAGCCTAACACATGGTTTGCATCTGTACACTTGATTAATTAGATGGTCCATTTTAGGTCTAAATGGTTCTACAGTTTTATCATTTGGTTTAATGATGCACAAATCACTCCAATATGCTTTAGATTGTTGGGAAAAATGGATAATTTGTGTAGATAAACTCTCAATAAACATAATCAATTAAATAATATAAACATAAGATATAAATAGAGAATTAGAAAACAAGTCATGTCAAGGACGCTATCCTAAAGTCTTGTTGTCTTCCCTACGTACAGGTACTTTCAATATTACACGACTCCAGTATAAAAACCTTATAGCTCACAGTTGATTCTCCTTCTACCGGCACGATCACAGGGAGATAAGGAACGAATCTTTACTGAGTTGCCAAAAGTATAAGAATATAGTATGAATTGTATATAATATTTTCCTTCCAAGTTGTGTTTAACACAATGAAAAACATTTTCTTTTATAGGGACAAATTCCAACCCCACAATTAATCCAAAATTATGAGTTTTAAATTTTTGTAATTAAACCTGAAAATTAAAAAGAAACTGAAAATTAATAGGTTTTAATTTTGAAAGGTTGGAACTTATTTTATGTTACGACAAATTCTTAGAAAATATAGTGATTCACTCATTCAATTTCTGTTAAAGAAAAAGCAGAAACAATCGTGCTACTGTACATCACGATTGACAACATATTTGACACTTTTCCATGCAGCGTCAATCTACACCTTTGATTTTATACACATCCATCTCTTCACTGCCTAAATTCCTTCCATGTGTGCAGTGTATTTTTCTCCCTTTTCTCTCTTCCTCTCGATTTCTGTCTGGAGAATTCCAGATGCCAAAACAAAATAAAGAAATTGGTTCTTAATGCATAAGATGTGGGGTCCTCTAACAATTATGGCAAATTAAATCTTTTTCTTTCTACCTCTATGTATATTATTTACAGCAAGATTTTTATACTTACCAAATAGTCCCAACAAACTCCACTAGTTCATTTTGGGCCCCATGAAATTATTTACTTAATATAAGTCCCCATTTGACTTTGACTTTGACTTGACATATGCTATTTTTTGTTTGTGGAACCTAACATGTGTTGTCTAAGAAGGATTTTACTAAGTGTACATGATAAATGTACATAAAGGATGACATAATGCAATGTGAAGGGAAAAGACTGATTAATAAAGTTGATTGTATTTTAAATAGGCAAATAGTATGGTGATATTATGAACACCCCTATGTATATGCTTATATACCTATGGCACTACTCGTCTGAGAATGATGCAAAATTGAGTGGGGGCGTAATAAAGTTAATTCCTTTTCGATCAAATTTCGGGCTTCTTAAGAACATCATCTAAGAGGGAATTCCTCGAAATTTTACTCAGAATAGTTTTGGGGATTTAAGCTGCATCTGTGTTTACAAGAACTGAATATCTGAACCACAGAGAGAGAAATTAAACCTCACAAAAAAATTCACATCATTGCTAAGATTGCTTCCATCCATCCAACCAATAACATGTAGACTAGTTCTAAACTGGTCAATGGCTATCAAACCAATTTCTGGTCGAATTACAGAATTTGTCGATGCGAATGCTATACAAAATACAAAATCTTAATGGCATTGAACAAAAATGACCAGCAGACGTACTATTGACGGAATATTGTGCCCAAAGTTCATGTTGAAAGCCATTCACAGATCGTCTTTATACGAAGTCCTGGCCTTGTCTCTTTCCGAGAAGTTAGATCTTGTGCTGAGTGACAATTTAGAATTAAATCCTTCCAATGCCTCGTTTAGCATTGGACCACTATGTCGTTCGTGTGGCAGCTGGTAATCTGACCAGATCCTGCCACTCCGACTGCCCACGTCATACCCAGGTATGGACATTCGATTTGAATCCATAATAACATCACCCTCAAGTATCCTAAGCACCTAGAAAGAGAGAGCGAAACAAAGTTTTAATTTCAGAATATAGAAACAAACACGGTGCAACCTAAATCCCATTTCACTCTTTTCGAACATGCGAATCCCCCAAGATCAGGACAGGTAGTCATATTTAATTCTGCAACATAATTGGAATGACTATCTTGATTACTTTCCAGGCATTGGATTTAATGATTTTATAGTACTTGATATTACGATAAGTGATCGTGCAACTTTTTTCTCGATTTTAGTGGTTTTAAGTGGATGAGTGAACTAAATATTTCTTACCCGAGACATGCGAGGCCTCGCCTGAGGATCCCGGCGTATGCACAAAGAAGCGGCATGTAACATGCAGTACACCTCATGTTCTGAGTACTTGTTCCCGAGCTGTGGATCGACCAGTTCACGGATGGCATAAGCATCCAATAAAGGACGTGCCTGTAACATGTCAGAAACCCACAAATCAGACAGATTAAGCACCTGGGCCTGACTAACTGTCAACCACTCAGTGGATAGAATTATACCCATTCAGTTAGACATTGCTGGCCTTTAGGCCTGTTAAGATCAACTGCTTTACGTCCAGTAACAAGTTCGACCAGTACCACACCAAATGAGTAAACGTCCGCCTTTTCTGTGATCTGTCCACTTTGAGCATATTCAGGAGCCAAGTACCTAATTGAAGCATAATAGTTTAAAGAAACTTGACTATTTTATTGTAAAGATCATAGTCAGGAACAGAGAAAAGTTAGTAATGGTAGAATTACCCAAATGTTCCGATTACTCTCGTTTCAACTCCAGTCTCCCCATCAGGTTGCCATCTTGCCAAACCAAAGTCTCCCACCTTGCAGAAAAATAATCAAGTAAAAATCAGCAAATTTAAGTTCAATCTGGAAAAGCATGTGAGACCATAAACATAGAAGATCTTTATTTGGGCACAAAACTGCACATAATAGTAAATAAAGATTTAAATCATTTTTCTATCAAGTCAAGAAGCTTTAAAGCAGGAACAACCCAGCTAAGAATGTTGATCGAGTCACAGTCACTACTGAGAAAGTAAAAGAATTTAACTCAAATTACTAAATGATTGAATTGTGCATTGAGTAAATACACACGTAAGAAAGAGAATTTCTTTTATAATTGTATGGCCTCTTTATTGCAGGAGAAGAAACACAATTTCTTCAGAACTAATAATTCTCAGAAAATTAATTGTAATATCATATGTGCACATTATATACACAAGCTGACGCAGATGAACAACCAGGGAGCAATTGAAATATCACAAATGTCTAAAATCGTCTTATTTTCCACTGGAACAGCTTGACTTTTTCATGGTAACAAACTTCTGAAGGATAAAATAAGAAACAGAAAAATCAGGACGAATTCGTCTGGAAAGAAGAACATCAAAAGGCTTTTGAAAGCCTGAAGACATATCTATCAAGTCCACCAGTGTTGGTGTCACCAATCCAGGGACAGCCAATGAAAATGTATGTATCGGCTGAAAAAGAATTAATAGCTGGAATGGTCGCACAGGAAGACCAATTTGGTGAAGAAAGGGCAATTTATTACTTAAGTAGACGGTTGACAAAATGTGAATGTAATTACTCTGCTATTGAAAAATTGTGTCTAGTACTGTATTTCACATGTACAAAATTAAGGGCTTATTTACGGCCCGTAACCGTTTATTTAATTTCTAAAGTAAATTTAGTCAAGTATATGTTCTCGCGCCCTATTTTACACCAAAGGGTAGGCCTTTGGACACTAGCTTTATCAGAGTTCGAAATACAATATATACCTCAAAAGGCAGTCAAAAATCAGGCTTTGGCTAACTTTCTAGCTGATCATCCATGCCTTGACATGCTTGAAGAAATCGAATTAGAAATCAATTCGTTCGAATTAAAACCTTGGGTGTTGTATTTTGATGGGTCAAAAACCTCTAAAGGTGCAGGAGTGGGGGTAGCATTGATTAATCATTTAGGAATTTGCTACAAGTTTGCATTCACCTTAGACAGAATGTGCACCAACAATCAGGCCGAATATGAAGCTTTAATAGTAGGCCTAGAACTAATGGTAGATATGGGAATAAGAAATGTGATCGTTAGGAGCGATTCTCAATTGGTGATCCATCAACTAATCGGTGATTTTAAATGCCAAAGTGATTCCATTATAAGCCAGTACGAGATCGCCCAAGAATTACTAGAAGAATTCGATCAAGTAGAACTCCAATGCGTTAATAGGATATATAACGACATGGCAAATGAGTTAGCCCAAATGGCATCAGGGTACTCAAAGGTTTTGAATTGGAAGTCTACTTGTGAATATGGAATCATATTGCCCGTGATTCAAAGAAGGGCGAAGAAAATTGAACTTCACTGTATACAAGATGGAGATGCAGTAGATTGGAGAACAGAGATGAAAGGGTTCCTTAAAGAACCTAATAGAGGGATTAGCAGGAAGACAAAGCTATGTTCGCTGAATTACACACTAATAGATGAAGAATTGTTTAAGAAACGCTCTGATGGTGTATTACTAAAGTGTGTAAGCTTGCAAGAAGTCAAGACAATCATGGCTGAAGTGCACGAAGGGATATGTGGAGCTCATCAAGCTGGCCAAAGGATGAGGTGGTTAATTATTAGGAGTGGATATTTTTGGCCAAAGATAGGAGAACTATGCGTTCAGTACGCAAAAAGTTGTTTAGCACGCCAAAAACATGGTCCAATACAAAGGGCGCCAGCATGAGAGATGGCACCTATTATTAAACCTTGGCCGTTCAAAGGTTGGGCGATAGATCTAATAGGGAAGATCTACCCTCCATCGTCCAAACAACATACTTTTGTTATAGTTGCAACCGACTATTTCACCAAATGGGTAGAAGCGGTACCTTTAAAAGAGATCACCCAGAAGAATGTTATAAAGTTTATCCGTGATCATATTATTTATAGGTTTGGAATTCCACAAA